TATCTGAGGTAGGTAAAGAAGAAGCAGCGAGGTCAATTCTACTTTGGCAGGTCGCACATAGGTACCAATTGGCAACCAGGTGAGCCACACTTTAGTTTAAAATAGCATAGCTATAAATAAATTATTCGTTTATTATAAATGTAAATTCTATAGTATAAAATAAAGTTGTAACATGATCGTCAAAAAAAAAATAAAAATAAAAAATAATAATAATATTTACCTTATACTCTTTGACTAACAATTTAAATTTCTCTTTGCGACCTGTGGGTCGATAGCATAGCGGTTATACTTCCAGGTTACAAATCGTAAGGTTGCCAGTTCAATTCCTCCTAGTGGCAAAATAATGAAAAAACAAATATAGAAGTGAAACACCACGGGTACAGGGAACCCAGGATATCTACGGATAGACGTATTCAGGAAATAATTATTCCGAGAAGCTGTGGCTGTGAAGAAAAGCCGTGCTAGAACCCCGATTTGGAATAACCGAAGTCATGAGACATAATGTGAGGTCTAAAAGTCTGAGAGGGTACTACATGAACTCGTGGCGCCACCCGATTGGCTCGTGAAATAGCGGTCTAAGGATAAGGTATTTCGGCCTCTCTGGAGTGTCGTGCAGGCGGTCGAACCTAGGCCCCAATGAGGGAACCAGGGAAATGTTGGACAATGAATACCAGGTAGATACACATGATACCTGTATGGGGTTATGGAGGTCCTGTGACACTAGTAGCATAGAGTCATCTATAATATAGCTGGACCAAAGTCATGACTAGACTTGCCGAAGAAATAAAAAAAAAAAAAAAATTTCTCTTTGCAATTTTGTCCTCTAAAAAATGTACCATATTCGAAATTAATTATTGTTGCAACACTGTTCCAAAATAATGTTTTTTGACTTGCAGACATTTCATGAAAGTCTGCATTATTTTTTTTACGTTCATCTATTAGCATTTGAAGTTGCACAGTGTTCCACATTTTTTAGAAATTTGAAGTAAAAAAAATCAAAACTCTTCTTTTATAATTAAAAAATTTATCTACATACGTATACAATAAGAATATATAAATAAATATATATACACTTTAACAATTATATATGCATGCATGTATATATACGCATATATAAACAAACAATGAAATGTATGTATGTACGTATGCACTAATAACTGATGTTATATCTGATATAAATTTATATAATTACTTACTTATTATATAATTGTAATTGATTTATTTATCATAGTGTATATGTATTAGTATGTATTGTTGGCCACAACTAGTCAGCAATACCAAAACAACAACCAACCCACATGATATATCCAAAGGTCAGAAGTGGTTTTGATTTGGTTCAAAGAAACAACTAAATATATTTTTATCTAAAATATTCACTTTTTTTTTTTTATTAGAGGGCA